ATGTCTTTTCTTGAACATCTTGGGGAACAGGGACTTCTCATGGGAATCCTGGCACCATTTCACCAGGAAAGCTAGCTTTCTTCAAAAGCAGACCTTTTAGAAGGCAACCTCAATTACTTCTGCACTACGAGAGACATGGGCTGAGTAATTTTGCCAAATAGCTAAGTAACCACTTTCCTAGAGCTTTGAAACCTGTAGCTCCCAGACATCCTCACCTCGCTGTCACTGATGTGATGCGAAACAGGCTTCTCAGATGGTGGCTCTCCTTCTAATCTAGTAGTTGCTTCAGGCCTTGCAATTTTTTAAACTGTGTCTATCAAAGTTTAAAAAGGAAGGGTGCAATTTTTTGCCATGGTATGCACCTCTGACTGGTGTGTGATTCACAGTGAGATAAGGCGAAGTGTCTGAAAGATATGCCCGCTGACAGTGATGACTTGATGACTCAAGCCTTGTGGATTTTCTAAGGCATCAATTTCCTCCTGGGAGAAATAAAATAAAAATCCCTCCATTTTAACTTTCAGTGATGGATGTTGTGTTATACGGCCAGCAGCAAGTACCTAAGTACATACTACATGCTGCGGTTAAATCAGTCAATGCAAACCTACTCAGATGCATTTATCAGCACCTCCTCCTTTCTTCTTTACTCTTCTCTGGAGCAATTTGCCCATTTTGTGCAAAACCACCCATCATTCCAAGACATCATTCAGGCAGCATCAAGCTTCATGAAAAGCTAAACCATGTAGGAAGGGTGGCTGTGTAAATGCCCTGGAATATATTAGCCAAAGCCCTTTGCCCAGGGTTCCAACTCAACCAGTGTGTCATGGACTATGTGAAAGGGTATCATCTTTTACTCAGTGGACTTTGTGCTTTGTAAATTCAGACATACCCACAGGTAAAGATATGGTATCATTTTTAATAGGTGGAGCATAGGCACCTGATGTACTCAATCTTGTGTTTGTTTATGCTCAGTTATTAGCTAGGATTTTCAAGTAACAGTGGTGTTAACGTGGCTGTGCCATGAAATGCATGTATATGCAGTCTGACCATTTATAATGTGATATCCTTTGTACCCCAAACCCAGATTTTGTATTTCAGATATAGCTTTTGTTTCTTATCACCTCAATGGGGTTGTGACCCACTATCATCATCACGTTGTTTGTCCTTTCTTTTCAGTTCTAAATATTATTTCCCCTCCTCAGAATTTAATAATAAACATGACATTCCAGCTTTGTTTTCATTCCAAGAAACCTATTTCCTCTCCAGAAATTTCACCTCCTAAAAGCATAAAATCAACCCCAAACAAACAAAAACTGTGGTGAAAAACTTATATTAAAAACAAAAAAAGTTTCCTTTTCTGATATCTCTGTCACAAGGAAACAACTCTATCTGTTGAAAGCCCTTTCCTAGGTCATTGTGAGTTCATATTTCCAGCATATCTCAAGAACCTCCTTAGTATTCTAAACTGTCAAGAAACTGAGTCACCTCCATTAAAAATGTCAGCTGCTAGTAAGAGTTCTGTCCCTCCTTACTGAGATTATGAGGAGAACCATTCAAAGGCTGTGGCATGGGAGGAGAGCTGGTTAGGTGCCAGCAGGCTGTTCAGGTTGCCACCTTGAAAGCAAATTTTCCTTGAGAATCAGGAATGACCTACAGAATGTGGCAAAACTCAAAGTACAAACAGTATCTCTAAAAGAAATGGTGCCAGAAAAGCTATTTCAGTCTCATTTGTGTTCCTGACATTCTCAAGAAATAGCACAGTAAAGATAAATCTTTATTTTGAAGGTCCTTCTTTCTAAGGGCTTTTATTAGATTCCCTCTACACATTTTATGCTTTTTTTGGTAAATATCTACCATGCAAAATTGTCCCATGTGATGAGTGATGAACACAGACAAAACCTTGGATATTTGGTAGTGATTGGAGGTTTGGTGATGACTTGATTTTTTGCTGAGCTAGAATATAGGAAAGTGATTTTGAAATGCACTGTTTTATCCAGATTCCATCCATTGCTGTTTCTTATTAAACTGCTGTGAAAACTCCAAACATATACTTGCCAGCAAAGCAACTTGAGTCTTTGAAGACAAGAAGCAGCAGGAATTACTTTTATAAGGTGCTTAACCTACGTTTCAACCCTATTAAACAAGTGAAGAGAAAATGTTACCATCCTCTTACTCATTTTTTATTTATTTTTAGTCAGTAACAACAATGCTATCACTTGCCCCTCAAGTCATGTTATATTGACTGGGAGGAAGGAATGTGATGTTCATTTTCCTCAAGGGCATCTCTCAGACATGTAAGCTGACTTCCTTATTGATTGGTACTTGTCAATATGTAATCAGAAGCATAGGGATCATTTCTGTTTTAGTCTTTAACAGATCATTTCCCCAGAGTACTCTACTTACTGTGGGGGAACAGGGATTTAGTTGTTAAGTATTTATCTTCTTATTTAAACATTTATTTTACTGTTGTGGAGGGAGCAGGCACTGTGGTACTGACTAGGTAAAATAAATGTGAATTAAATGGACTTTAGAGGAAAGGCACTTTTGTTTTCTAAAATTCCCAAAGTGTAGCAAATAGAAAGGTTGAATGCATCATAAATAAGGTGTGTCTCAAAGAACTTTTGACAGGTGATGGGAAAGAGAAAGCTCAGGTTCTCAGGGAGGTTTTGAGAAAACAAGGTCAGTGCTTTTCAAAGAAAGCTTTCTTTTTTGTTTCATTCTTCAGGGAGTCTCAGGGATAAAAATGATTTTGTGCTGGAGTAATCTAACAGCCAGAAAAATCACTCCTGAGCTGCTAAATGTTTAATACCTAACCAGAAGACTCAAAATTCTCTTCTCTGCACTGAATAATGACATCTGATTAAAAACTTGTTAATTGCCGTGACGTAAAATGCAAGTTTGTACAGGTCTCTTACACCAAGGTCTGTCAGTGTGCTGTCGTCAAGTTTTCACAACATCTATGTTACAAAACAATTCCGGTAACACTTCTACACCTATCTCTTGAAAATACAATGATTATGACTGCTAGTATCATGACTCTGTCCTCATATTCCCGCAAAACACACAGCGGTGGTAAGAGGTAATGCAAACTAATCTGCATCAAGATCCACTTGGTAGTATCAGAAATAGAGGCATTTGGCAATTAGGACTCTTCTTAATCGAAATAGAAGAAACCCATCTGAGATAGATATTTCATACACAAAAAAGTTGTATTATGCCGCATTATGCTATTACGTATTTTGTCTCATCTTAATCTGTTAAATGTGGTCAACCATTGATTTCATACTTTTTAGTGGAAAGTCTTACTTCTGGACAGTGAGAGAGCATTCATATCAAACAATTACTTTATCCCTGGTCCAGCTGTTTTAAAAATAGAAGATCAAAAGAGGACATTATTGACGGTCAAGAACCCCATTACACAATGAAGGCATCCTACCACTGATGTCGAGACTTTAGGGAATAACCTGCACCAATTAACAGGGGCACTTGTACAAATCCCTTTAGCTAGTCTATCCTCCCATGAGCATTTTAACACTTTTAAAGAAAATTACTCTGTAGCCTTGTGTAAAACAACATCAAGGGGGGATAAAAAAGAAATAATCCTGCAGTTTACTGTTTTCCTTTCAGGGAAGGGAGGCATTTCACAAACCCAGTAGTGGCCTAAACACTTTTGCAGATGAGGTGAGGGGGTGGAGGTATGAAATAGTTACACAGGCTATTTCATCAGCCTCGCTGTCCTGATTTCAGTACAGTGCTCAGATCACAGCAGGGTGTCCTATGATGCTCTTTGCAGAAGGACTGAAGCTGGAGTCATGAAGATTTTGAAGGCTGAAATGTCAAATACTTTTCCTGAAGTACCTCCAGACATAACCTTCAATGTTCAAAAGGAAAGTAGAAGACATTTATTTTCCAGCCAATTGTACGGCTGCCCTCTAATTGCTAAATTCAACTCCAAACTAACGTAAAGCACCACAAGAACGCGCTTTACATACGTAAAGGCAAAACAGCATTCACTTCTGATTTTCCAGCACACTGGTAATAGTTAAGGGGCTAAGACTTTCCTTGAATTAAGTACCTCACCTTTTAGTTTACAGTTGTGTACCCGGGTTCATTCTTATTTATGCATAGCTGGGGGAAAGATGCATCGTTTCAAGATAATTATAACTGCTTTAAGGCAGGGAACAGATCCTGCTGGGTATCTATCCAGCAGTTACTGAACTCAACATATGAAAACTCTTCGAAACACTGGTTCCTCCTTACATATAAAAATGGTGTTCTGTGCTGTTTTTTGAGTTATTGTGCCTCTTGTGTACTGGTGTGTGTTGAATTTATCATGGTAGTTAGAATAGTGTTTGTCCAAAATGCTGTTTTTCCTTAAAAAAACCCAAACAACCCAACCCTTTATTCATAGTCCTCATAGTTGTGGTAACAACTTTGAAAACATGAGACAAACAGTGCAAAAAACTTCTGGTGAGGTTAAACACCTCTTGAAACAATAGCACTAAGTGGTATGAAACACTGCATACTTCCTAAGAGAGTGTTAATCCTTATCTCCTTACGGGGGACATAAAGTAGGGGGAAAAAATAAATGTATCACCAAAGCAAAAACATACAAAAGAGAAAGTATCTTATGAGACATCCCAGTCATTGCTGCTATTCAAAGCGAGTGGTAACTGAAAGCTCACTTTCTACTGACAGCTACTATTCTAAATTTCTAAGCAGATACTGGCCACTCAGGTCCCTCTCTTCTAATGGATAAATCAAATAACTTATCAAAGGGATTTTCAGATCATCTTTTTCTGGTTTTTGGAAGTTCACCTGCACTGCAGGATCCTCCAGAAATGCATTCATTCTGCTATAAGGCCACCCATACACGTTTCAAGCAGCATTTAAGTCCCAGGCAAGTAATCCACAGACTGCACAGAGACCTTTTTCAAGAGCAAATGATGTGCAAAATGAAAGCAATTTTGTTCTGCTTTATTGAAACCAGAGACATCCCCAAATCAGAGGCATTTAAAACATTTATTATTGTTAATCATTGTAGGTTAAATAAAACACCAAAACTACATTTTAGGGCAAAAAATAATATTAGGTATGATACAATTAATATGTAAAACAAAAGGTAAAGTATTAACAGATTGCAGCATCCCATACATGAAGCGAGTGGGTCCAGCCCAGTCAAAGCCCTTATATAAACAAAACAGAGGAAGAATACTTAGCAGGTGATTTTAAACTGACAGTTTATCACTGACTCTGGTTTAAATAATTAAGGGTAGGATAGTAAAATGTATCACTGTATTAAGACAGTCTAATTATCGTCAGAATGCTTACACATGTAATCTATCTAGTCATGCTTATTACCGTGTGCCGTGAAGGATTAGAGAAGACATGGGATGACAGGTAACTTTTCTAGGTATCGATACAGACCCACGTTACACTGCAGCATTTCAGATAGACATGCTGTACCATGAACAAAAATTGTTTTTTCCTTTTTTTTTTTGAGTGTCACTTTATTACTTCAGAATCCCAATTCTTGAATAATAATGGCCTTTTTTAGATTTCTTAGTCTGCAAGACAAACTTTTTCTATAATATGCCATTTTCATGCATAAGAATGGCAAGTCAACAATTGTACCTATGTGTACCTATCTCCTTGCTACCTTTGATCTGCAACTTTAAATCCATAAAGGTGAAATGATCATTAACAAAAAAATGTACTTACAGAGTACAATGTGCAGTATATGAGAACCAGACATAGTGAAAAAACACTACATGTCAGCACAACAATATAAAACCATACTTATATACACACACATATGCGGAGCATATATGAAAACCAGTTCCTTCATAATTCTGTCTTTAAACTAGCTCACAACAAGCCAGAAAAGCAAGTCACCCACAACTGGACAGTCACAGTCTCGAGTCATGGTGCAAATAAGCTCCACCAAATATCCTTAGCACCACGGCCTGTGCCTTAGTCCTGCTGCCAGATCTCTTGAGAAAACAAATCTTGGACAAACCCAGCACCAGCTGGTTAACCTAGAAAGGCAGCATTGATATTACTATTATTCCTATTATTACAGATGATCAGCTACAGTCAGGTGCTCCCGTACAGTAATTTAACTTTTCACCAGCCATTAACTACTAAGAGGAATTCCAGTTGCTGCTGAAACTTTTGACTCCGAGATTGGGGGATTTTTCTATGCCATTTTTCTGGCTGTTTATGAATGGTAGTGGTACTTTCCAAGCAACATAGGCAACAAAAGAAAGCAGAAATCATTGATTTTACATTTGAAAATCACAACTTTTATAACAAATCCCATTTCAAGAGGCGTGTGAAAGCTGCACTTTAGCTTTGACGAACAGCAGAGAGGCAACATCATCATTGAAGGTGAGCCCTCTGTCCAGAGAAAATGAGAGATGCTCTGCATAGCACAGTGGCCTGTTATTTTTTCACCTGTGACTTCAGACTTCCCTGCTCAAGCTCACGGTAAACCAAATATCAAGAACTTACACAGTCAGAATACTTATTCATTTAAATCTTTTTCTTGACTAAAAGTAGAATAAGGTGATTTAGATTTGACTCACCAAATGCAAAAACATCTTGAGCCTACTTAGCATTCAAATTTTAAAAATCTGCCATTCACTGTTAAAAACTTCCAATTTTAAACTATTTTAACATATAATTAATAAATATGTTCTGATTCACATTCTGCTCAATGGCAGCTGTGAGAGCCAGCACTTCAGGACAACATCCCATGCAGATCAGAATCATTTGCCAGTTCTAGCATAAGTTATACAAGGTATTTGCAGAATTGTCTTACAAAGCTTTCAGACATCTCAATTAGGATTTAGTAAGTTTTGAGATGCCACGTTAAAAAAAATGTTACAATGATTTACAAAAGCTAAAAAATCAGTTATGCGTTAGTGCTATACGTTGAACTAAAATCTATGACATCTTTAAAAACATGGGTTCAATCTCACCTTGTTTCCTGGGTAAAAGGTCTAGCCTTTTACTGGGTTTTACTTAGGAGGAACCAGATCTCTTGCAGCATTGGGTCATAGAGCCCATAAATTGTATGAATTTGGGATGCTGGTAAGTTTGATATTTCTTTAGTGCTGAAGGCCAGGTTAAGCTCTCCCTCCACAGCCAGGTGAAAGAGTCAGGCACCACTGGAAGACTTGCTTGTACCAAGAAGGGATTAAATGTTCCCTAAAGGAGCCTGTCTCTCTCCCCAGCTATCAACAATGATGATTGCTGAATTTTCACTTAAATAACCCGGGATTATCAGTAAAATAGTTGCTGCAATGAGTCAGAGACATGGATCATATATCAGCACAGGTGACAACTGAAAGTTTACCCAAAATATCCAAGGGCATATTTTCAAGTATGAGTGCTTTCAAAGGAGGCCAAAATATGGGAGAAATGGATTATATGTGAAAAACAATGCAGTTTAGATTCTTAGATAAAATCCAGAGGGACATTTCCCACCTATAACTATTCCAAGCCCTCTGGAGACAAAATGTTCCTGTTGATTTTATCTGGCTCTGTTTCAAGTCCTAATAATTAGTGACATTTTATCAAAGCAATCTAACAACCAGCCAATAAGATCTGCTTTTTATGTATAAACACGGAAACCACGCTCTTAGCCTGCCAGTTCATGATTTATTGTGCCAAGCTGTTTTTCCTTTTTGTTTGCTTTTCATAAGTTCCCCCCAAAATGTGCAGTGACGATAATTTTCCTCATAAGAGAATAAATTAATGTTGTGGAATGCAGGCTGGGCTCTGGTTTTGAAGCTGGCATTTCTTACCCTAATTCCCATTTCCAATGAAATTGATGAAGAAGATACATTTGGATTTTATCATCTCAGTCACACAAATTCATAAAAGATGGAAGTGAAAAACGCATACAGTTTTACATTATTACCAGTTCATAACCATCTGTAGGATTTTTTTCCTACACTGCATTTTCAAGTGCATCATGCTTCAAAGATATCACACAGTGGGTCTTCCACATCACAAATGAGAAGACTACTCCACAAATTCACAGAATTACATTTGTAAACAAACATTCAGGTTTGTTTTATTAGATTCCAGCCTCTAACCCCAAATTATATTGTGCTCTCTTAAGCAGTTTTTGTACAGAAATATCCTTCTCTGAACTTGAAGGTCTCTTGGAGCACAGCAGCGAGACCATGTGGAATGAGGCACTGTGGCATCCTCTTTTAGAAACCAAGGAATAGGCAACTTTGAACAGAGACAACTTTGGTCTGGGGCACAGATTTGGAGGAAACCTGGTACGTAGTGGAGATTAAGCCTGTATTTACATTCTTTCTACATTTTCAGTAATTAATGAAGCCTACACCCTGCACAGGGAATCATTCCAGTCATCGCACAGTGGCTGCATTTTCACTTCCTTCTGGAGCACACTCGAAATGTATGGGGTCCAGCAGCTTCCTTCATGACAACTCCTTCTTTCACATACACAGCACCTCCTGACACAGATTTTGACCTCTAGTCTAAAAACTGCATTCACTCATCCTTTGGATCCATTTTTTTTCTTCAGTTAGCAAATTCAGTTTATTTCTTGCTAATGTTTACTGAAAGTGTGAGATGAAGCTGCAGATTTACAAAAATAGTGAAGCAGAGTCCAGCTAAAAAGATGGCAGTGAAGCCATAAAAAAAAGCAAATCAGGTTTTATGGTGGGTCTTTTTCACCCTATTATTACAGAGAAAACTCTAAAAACATGCCAAGTCCACTTTGCAATGTAAAAGATAAGTTTTTGCAGCAAACCTAAATTTTATATATAAACCAATCTTTTTATTAAAAAACCCCCTCAGTCATTGGTTTAAACAGAGAGTTGGAGTACTCTGACATTGTAATTTTGACAGGATATTAGAGAGGATTTTCCAACTGGGTTTTGCAAAATCCCTTTGAAGTCAAGCCTTCTGCTTCTGGTCCTTGCGTTATTGCTCATGGGAAGTATTGAAATTACTGCTTTCAAGATAAGGAGCCACGTCACTGAGATCACTAAGTCCTTTCTCAGTGAAAAAAAAAGGCAAATGGTGCTGTTTTTCAAGTAAATCTAAAAAGATCAAGTTGGGTCAGCAGCACCGCCTACCCGTCTGTGAAGTTTGCTTTCCAAGTTTGATTGCTCCATTGTTACTGTTTTCATGAGGATCTAAGGGTGGAATTTGCCGACCTGAAACACATGAGGAGACAGTGAGTTCAATTTTCCTGATATAGTAAAAACACCACATGCAGGTAACAGTTAGAAGAATCTAGCTTGCATAAGAATTACATCTGTGAAAATTCACCGAAAAACAACTATCTCCTGTGTATCTTGGATATTTTTCCTTGCATCCTGCTTATGAAAAACATTTTCACATTTAAAAACATATATGAAATATGGTTATTGAGAAAGCATGAAGTACACTGGAATTATATTATCCCTGTATTTAAAGAAACCAGTTATCTAACTCAGCACCTTACAACCAAGAAAGAGAAAACTCTCAGCTTTCTCCTAATTCCACTTAAATGTGAATGGCGCAAGTTTAATGAGATCGTGCCTGTCCTAAATCTGCATGGCCTTTAGTCCTTGCACACTAGAGTTTTACAAAGCACTGTAACTAAACACATGGTGCCTACACTTGAGAGAGAAAAACAAATCTGTTCTTTCCATTGAATCCCTCTCTCCTTTGAATTGTGCCCATGTCCTTCTAATTGACAGCTTTGATTACTTAACAGCACCCCCTCCCCCGCAAACTCTCCTGACTTTTTAATCATCTTATAGAGTGATTATTTCAAGTGTTCGAAAGAATTTCAGCCATGACAAGAGAGCTAGACATCTCTCCTGGGGCAGCAGGGCACTGCTCCAACTCCATCCCCGTGAGCTCTTTTAGTACTGTTGCTTGCATCTTTTGTCTAACTTTCTTCCTATTAATGGACTTAATAATTAGAATTATAAATGGAAAACCAAGATCCTCCCAGGTCTAATCTATCCTTTGTCTCTGGTGTGCACCTGGCTTTTCCATTAAACTCTCGTGTGATCTCTCCATCAGCACCTTGAGATCTTACAGTCATGGTAATGTACTTTCTCATCACTTTGTGGATTTCTTGGAAATTTTTCTCTGAAGCTGAATTTACTTTCTATGAATTACTCCTTGTTTTACTATTACCCATGTTAAATAACAAGAGTTAAAATCTTTAACATTTGTTATATGCCACTTTCAGAGAACAAGTTCCTGTGAACAGCTCATCATAATCCAGGCAGATTATATAGAGTTTGGATTTCCCCATCCTTTGCTTCATTTATTCACAGCTCTCTTACCAAATGTTCAGTGAGTTTTGTACCTATGTTGAAGCCTGAGTCCTACAAATTACTTGGGGGAGTGGTTGTGGGTGGGCGAGTTAAAAGCATTCAGGTAAAATCCAAGCCCAAAGTAAAATCTCACCTCTAACACTTGTCCTTAAATTACCTTTGGCCAAGACTATTAAAATTTCACCTCTCTTATTCAGTCAGTTCTGCATAGGTATGTTATACAAAAAAAAGTGTGACTTCTGAAGCAGATATCTTTTTTGTACAACTGAATGAGAAAGGGAAAATTCCTCACATTCCTAAGCTAAAGATACAGTATTTGGTCCAACAGGGTGAGAAATGGGTATCTTGAGGGTTGAAGCATGTATAAGCACTGACATTACAATGCTGAACTCTATTCAGGTCACTAAAATATCAACTTTACACCCTGCTTAACATTCTGTTTGGACTTCATGCTTGTAAAGTAAAATAAAAAGCAGAATAGGTGGTTATAGACCCATCTGTTACATGCATTTAGTTCTGTTGGCTTTGTTTGGAGACAAAGAGAATCCACTAATTCTTAAAACTCTAGAGAATATGAAGAACATAGGATCAGCTTTCCAAGTAGGTACCACTGCTGTTGTAGAGACCTGGAGAGAACTTCTGCATTAGGTACCTACCACTTCTGAAGTGCTTTCAACTCAGTCCCAGGTAAAATAAAATCCTTTCAATTTAACTCAGAGCACAATGTAGCTAAAAAAATGAATCTACAGACACAGTTTCCATAATGTGCCATTAAGCAAATACCCTGTAAACATTTGGTTCTTCTAACAGTCACTTTGGAAGCAGAGAGCTTTAACATGCAAAGCAGCCCAACTTCCATTTCAGAACTCCTCACTGAACAATGACGTTATCTCTATTTGGTTTTCATTCAGAGTTTCATATTTCTTATGAGTTTCAAATCTTTTCTGCAGTACTCTTGATATGTATGCCACGAAGCAGGCAAACTTGTCTTTGGAGCAAAAACCTTGCAGGCTTCAAGGTCAGCAAGCATTTTGTCCAGTTCAGACCAGGACACAATGTATTATGTTGTTGAGAATCCCCTGGATTTAATTCACTTCTCAAAACAATAAAACCCATACAGATAACAAGTACAAATAGTAAAGACAAAAAAACTCTAGACATATTTGCTGGTTAGTTATTCTGGCCTTTGAACTTAAGTATTGTTTGTCATAAACTAGCTATGTTTTCTGCTGTTTGGATACCACCACCACTCCCTTGAGTTCCTTGAACTCAATACAAGGAAATAAAAGTTTAAACAGTCTAAACTTTTTTCAAGTTTGAGAATATTTTTTTCAGTAGGTGAGTTTTCTCCCACTTACTATTTCTTTTATTACCAGAATTAATAAACCATCGAGTTAAATCATTTTAGTTTTAGTAACAAGACATCCCTGCCCAACCACCTTTTATCATGACAGGAGTAACTATTTTGGAGCATAAAACTCAGTCTAACACCTGAGAACCAGCTCCATAGCAAATGATACAGTGATTTTTCATCAAGCATCAGGGAAAGTGAATAAAAAAATCAGTTAGAAATCTGTTTGATTGATTGTCTTTCCCTAGGCCTCCCTGACAGCTAGTCTCATGGCAGATGCTATACCAGAGAAAGGCTTAAGTAGCACAGAACACTAAGGATGAGCAGTGAAACGCTGAGCCTGCATCCACACTTCCTGCATCTAAACCAGCTCAATCACTATTGCCACCTAAAAGCACTGTGATCATCTCATCTTGTCATTCAGCTCCTGATAAATATGGCATCAATATTGCTGACACCAACTCAAATATAGCTGGCACTGAGTGAAGATCAACAGAGGTCATAAAGTGAATTAATTTTAGAAAGTATATACTCATTTAAAATTTGCATCTCACTGGCATCCATAGTCTCTTTTCCAGAGCAATAAAAAATACCTCAGTATTAGGTACCATAAATAAGAATTGCTGTAGGTTATTTCTTTCATGCAGGTCATGTCAGAAAGGAGCAGCAGTGCTCTGACATCCAGCCATGCAATTCTCATGCTGCAAAGATAAAAAGATTAGGGTAATTCCTGCTCTGTAAAGATAGTCAGCTCAAAAGGACCATGAGAGATTGAACTCATAGGATCATAGAATGCTTTGGAGTAGAAGGGACCTTGACCATCTCATTCCAAATTCCCCTGCCATAGGCAGGGATGTCATTCATTAGATCAAGTTGCTCAGGGTCCCACTCAACTTGGCGTCGAATACTTCAGGGATGGGGCGTCCACACCCTCTCAAGGCAACCTGTTCTCATCTGTTGCTTAACTTAAGATGACCAACTAGACCACAAATAGTCTTTGCTCTGTTTTGCAGAGCAGGGCACAACTACCCAGCTTGCCAAAGGTCACCAAGACCACATCTTAGGATTTCAGATGAAATGGTTAATCACATAGAAAATATGTGTACATTTACCTAATAATTCTGCAACTTAACTGGTGAAATGAGGAACTCAGGGATAAAATATTACTGAGGCAGTACAGAAGTTCTACATGGTTTCCCTTGCTGACTGCAATTTAAAAATTTGATTTTCCATTGGCATTATTAAATATATGATTGTATATTTTGGGTTCATTTCACTAAGATTTAGACCATGTTTCACAGATTTTGTGCAACAAAACTGTAACCATGCACCTCCACACATTCCTGCAGAGGTCTTTGTGACCTCCATTATCTCATTCCAGTAAACACACTGCAGTGTGTCGAATAATAAGCATCACAAGAGGCTGCTCAAATGTAGGGTTACAGAAGTTGTCAGTTCTGAAGTGAACTATCCAGGTTAACAGGTGAAAAGCACAAAGCAATTGCATCTCCTCCTTTCTGGCATGTTTTGAGCTGGGCTGAGGCAGTCCAGGATGAAGGTCAGAGTCTTCTCCAAAGCCTGGTAGAGTTCCAATTCCTGCTACTGAATCTGAGATTTATTAAGAGATTAATCAGCACTGTGGGCGTTGCTGTTCTGAGAGTGCCAAAGGCAAAGAGATTGGGAAATGGGAGGGTGTGACAAGAGATAAACAAAATGTGAAGGGAGAAAAATGAAAACCGTAGCAGGGAAGCAAGAGAGACAACAGGGACTGGGTTCAGCTCAGTGAGCAGAACTTGAAGAAAGGCACATGGGGATTGCTTTGCTGGAAGCAGGATGCATCATCACAGTAATAAAAGCTGCTCACTTTGTTCCTTTTGGAATACAATGCTCCAGTTAGAAGCTGTGACATTCATTAACTCAGAAAAAGCAGGCTCAGAGTTGAGCTTTATGATTTTGTTTGGGTTTTTTAACATGAAACTATTTTTATCCTTTACCTATACAAGCCTGCATGAAAGGAAAGGTTGGAAACAGCCCTAAAGCTGAACATAAGGAAATAGAAAACCCACAACTGTTAGCATGCTGTCAAAGGGACAAACACAACAGTGCATTGAACAGATACTTGTATAGTGTGGAAACAGATGTGTTGTGATCAACCTGACCTGGCACATCCAGATGATGAAGTCAAGTCCCAAAGAAGCACAGTTCTGCTATCTTAGACAACAATTCTGCTAATGGTAAGAGGCAAAATTCTGTACCGTGGCTTTCTGTGCATTTCTCTCCATCTTCCCGAAAATCATGTACAGTATAATTTTTACAGGGCTGGAGGAAGGTGAGGTTTTTGATAATGGAGGATGTGAAATCCTGGCAGCTATCACAGCTCAGGTGAGCTTTTCTAATGGCTCCCCTGAGAAAAGATCAACATTTTCAAGCGGTGATACAACAGATATACAATGGCCAGAACCTCCTCCTCAAAGTGTCTGCTGTATCACAGCAGTATGAGCCACCGCAAAGCACTGCTCTCTATAAACCT